ACCTTTAAAATACATTTTTTCCCTCTAAATTGTTTAGTTACCTTCTCTGAGTAATTTTTTTTCTTTATAACGAGTGCATTAATTTTATAAATTAAATAAAATGTCCTGTAATCATACATTTTTACCATATATCATAACAATGAAAAATAATATTGCATGATATTATTTGAAAGATGCACATGACAACTTTCAAAGTCAATTGTATTCTCTATTAAATCAAAACCTCACTTGTCAAGAAAGCACACTTAAGAAAACAGACAACTGAATTTGAAATGATATAAAGTATATTTGCAAAATAAAATCAGTGCTATTTTTGAAATAAGGTTAATTGTATATACGTAGAATCAATGAATATAATAGTTGTATTTGAATTATACTCACATGTAAATTTATGGTCTTTTCAAGGGCGAAAGTGGTTCACAGAGCCCAGTGCATGTAATTCTTTGACATTTCAATGAATTTTGGATTTGAGAGGTATAGGGAATTCTAGTTTTCCAAATGAGCACAAGAAATATATGTCTTCAAATCTGTATTTTTCTATTCACAGAAAACACTCAATCCCCATTTTTCAATTCACACCTATTGTAAAGATTGTTTTCTTCTAATGATTTCTATGTTCTCCTTTACGTGTACATATTTCTAGGTAGTACTTTTATATGTCGTAATGGCATTTGGCTCCTTCTTGCAGAGCCACAGGTGAAGAACAGAAGGGTGGAGAGACTTAATCTACCCTGTTTTCCTTAGTTCTTCTGAACTGCAGAATAATTCTTCTGAGGATGAACAAGAATAGACAGAGGCTAAAGTTAATACATTTAATAAATTAATGGTTAATGTATAAAGTGATTATCCTGTTGAAGCTTCAGAGTATGGCACTCTGAATTCTAAAGAATAATGATCTAAATTTTAAGGACAATGATCCCAAGTTCCATTGGGGTTAAATGTGTTTGTGATTTAGTGACTTCCTAGCATGTAGTCATCCTGGGTTGATCTTCATTTACATTTTCAACCATAATCTGATCATCCTTGTTTTCTTTTTCTTTTTTTGAATATTTAAAATGTTGGCTTTTATTTCCTAATTAATTATTCTGAATTATTTAATGGCAAATATATTTTCTTTTGTTCTTCTGATTTCTTCTTTTGTTTTTTTTTTTTCATTCCTTTTACCTACATTTCTCTATCCTTATTTTCAAATCAGTCAGGTCCTTTGTATCCACAAACCTGACTTTTCTAAATATCATACACATGTATCTTACACACAAGTATTTATTAATTGCCATATTAGAAATCAATCTTAGTTCTTGCTTTTCTGCTGTTTATAAAACTCTAATTGTTATCCTCTTAAAATTTTTTATTCTTTTTTTCTTATTATTATGCTTGTCAAATATTTAATTTTACAAAATTTTTCTATGTGTGAGGTAAACGTAAGTTCATTTTCATTTGTATCTTTTGCCCCCTTTACATACTGGGAACATTTATGATTCTTAATTCATTTTAATAATTGAAAAATTAGGATTTTATCTCATAAAATTTATTTTAACAACCAGTAGATTGTCTTTGTCAGTATCATTTTGGTTAACTTTTTAATAAACATAAAATGAAAGGATATGATTTTAGGAGAAAAATTTGAAGGTAAAGAAACTGTTAGCCATTTTAAGTAAGATTTTAAATATTTCTGAAATTCATTGTTGTTCTCATCTAATATCCTCTACTGTAATTTTTTTCTTGATATGCATTAATTAATCATGAGAAAAAAATTTAAAAAGTGTCTATGAGATGCATAATGAGAATAAATAAATTTGAGTGTGTTCAGCTTATAGGCCTTTAATCTAAAACACTGATAATTTTTATGGACTTTATTTGTGTAATAAAAATATTGGCCAAATGAATTGGATGAAAGTATGAACGAATGAGTTACTTTGACCACCACGTGGTGGCACATTTTTAAATTCTAGTAACAATAACAGCTAATATCTGTGAAGCATTTCATTTGTGCAAAATATTTTTTATAAATTCTCTCATTTAATTTTCATAATTATACCTTGAAATAGAGAAGCTTCATAATTTCTACATAGAGAAATTAATCTTAAGAGGAAATTGAAAGGGAAGGTAAGGGGTTTTTATTTTTTGATGCTGGGACTATTTACAATACTGTTTTTAATGTCTATTCTGTGTCTGTTTATTCTGGGTTTCAAAATTTAAACAGTGAATATTAGGTACTATTATGTTCTTCATTTTAAACCAAAACATCGAAGTATAATATAGATTAAGGAATTTATTTAATCTAAAAGTAATGTTAAACCCCAAGACCTGTGTACTTCTTAGTTCTAAATACCTATTTTTTAAAAGATCCTGTTCAGAATTACTTGTGACATTCATATCATTATTTTGTACTCACTCAATGCATGAAATTAAATTTACACCACATATTAACGTTTCTTAAGTTTTCAACCTGACTCTTTTGTATGTGCATGTATTTAGTGCAGCTACAGGCAAAATACTCTAAGTGCCTGAGATAAAATATTCTGATGAGGTCAACTTCATAATGGTATATCTACCACTTGGGCACACAGTAATGTTTGTTAAATTGAATAGAATTGACAGTCATAAAGATGAATAAACTGGGTAAATTATTATCTTCATAATTCCATCTGTGTCATAAAACCCAACATTAGAGAAAGGGTTATTGCTCCAATTCTTTTATTGTTGTTTAGTGAATATGTTCCCTATCCTTTTCAATTTTGTAGAAATAAAAAGCTCAAAAACAAATTATGGAAATTATGCATTTTCTAGTCATTGTGTGTGGATTATTTACTATAGTATTGCAAGTCCTTTATGAGGTAAAAAATGTTTACTTACTGTATTACATGCTATATTATACCTCATTTATAGTCTCTGGTTCAAGACAACACCTTTTAAATTGTCATTGAACCCCCTAATCAATATCTACAATCTTCCTTAGCACCAGCTCCACAAATGGTCAAAAGTATTCTTTTCAAAATATCAATTCTCATTCAAATTTGTAAAAATCTCTTTACCTCAGCCTTCCTAGCATATCATTAATAATCTCTTTTATTTTCTTCATCTCCTCAGCCAAGAAGAACTATAATATTTGTGGTTCTTCAAACATTACGTGCTCACTCCTGCACATGTGCGTCACATACCATTTCTTCTTCCTCATATGCCCTTACCGCTTCTCTGTCCATTTCCCACTGACTAAAGTTTCTGTTTTAAGTCTCAGTTTTTACATCACCTCTTCTGAGAAGGACTCAAAATAGAAATCATTCCCTTTGGGAATCCTTATTTTATGGTTTCTTATTGCCTTCCAATATGAGTTCATTAAGGAACTCTGCCTTGTTCTTATTTAAATCCCTGTTAATTATATATACTAAAATATGTATGGAATGAATGACTGAATTTTTAAAATCACCAGTGTTTGTTCTTCTAGACATTAATAGACTATCTTAAATTTCACTCACTTTTGTTTTATATCCTTAAAAAAAGCCATTCCCAATATATAAGTTTTTCAGAGAAAACAAGTGTTAATATTTTAATAACAATTATATATGTGACATTTGAAAATGGTTGTGTACTATATGTATCTATGCATATGTAATATATATAATTTGAAAAAAATGTATATAACATTTCTTATCAGAAATAGCAGTAACTAGGGAAAATATTATGATGGATCTTCTGTGCTCAGGAATTAGTAATCATTTTAGTTAATTTGTTAATTAATTTTTCTTATTTGAGTCCACTTGCATGACTGTCATTTCTCTTCCTTCCAACAAATATCCATGGGCTACTCACTTGCAAAGGCAGAAATTGTACAAATCAGCAATGTAACATTTTGTAGCAATAGAATTCTTTTTTGCAAGGAGCAAGTCTAGCCTAGAGGGAAGAAAATGCTTTCATATTTCTGTCTCTGGCCTCCATGAACTGAGGCTGCCCAATAGAATTGAAGAACACTATGTAGTCTCTGCTACACTTTCATTACATTATCCATTGTCTGTCAAACATCAGGACCCAGTAGAATCTTCACCTCATAGAGAAGAGATTGGAACCTGAGACTTCAGGGAAGAGAATTACTTAATTCCTTCTTTTTTTATTATCAATACAGGTGTTTCCTTGGAGTACAAATCTGAATCTTTGTGAGAGATCATCCTGCAATCTAGGCAACTTCAGACACTACCCTTAATATTGCTTCTAGTGATGTTATTTCATAGTACAATGATGGCTGTTATTTTCATAAAATACATGTAGGACAGTCAAAACACTAAAATATTGGATGTTTGTAATACATTGATAATACAAAATTGTTTTTAAAGAAGTATTTTTCAGGGCTGGGGTTGTGGCTCAATGGTAGAGCACTCACTTAGCATATATGAGGCACCAGTTCGATCCTCGGCACCACATATAAATAAATAAAATAAAGTAAGGTATTGTGTTAAACTACAACCAAAAACAAGAAGAAAGAAAGAAAAAAGAAAAAAAAGGAACAACATTTTTTTTTCTTTTCCTTTTGAACTACTATGGATAAAAATATAACTGCTAGAACTTTTTATTTTAAAATAGGGTAGGAAATCTACTCAACTGATGTAAAATAATATAAATTGTTTTTCCTCTCTAGCTGAAATTGCTACGTTGGTTTTAAATTTCCCAGTTCAAATTAATGAACTATTTCTCTGTTGTATAAAGATGTACTTGGCAGTACAAAGATCAGAGCAGTCTCTTCTTCATGAAATTGGGCAAGGAGAACTAACTGGTTCTCAAACTGTTAAATGGATATTAGGGTTTTTAATGAATGGAACATTTATTTTTGTGCCAGCTCAACTAACAACATTGACATGATTAGCATACATTTTGGCAACTGTTCTAGCACAAGGTGTTAGTAAAAAGGGGCTTTTATCTTTGAGTTTAATTTACTTTAGCTTTCTCTGTTATTAATGTTTTTAATGTGAATGAGATGTTTTTGTAAAGGAAATCCTGTCACAAGAAGGTATTAAGAAATACATCGTTTTATTAAAGTTACAAACATTATTCATGCTGGAGATGAAGTTCATACCCCACAACATATGAATCTTCTTCAAATTTAGAAAAGAATAGAATTTTTTAAATAATTTACACTGATAGTAAAAGTCATTGCACTTATGCAGAGTTTATTTTTTATTAACCACACTACTTGTATCTCATGTAGCTTCTTCCTTAAAAAAACGCAAGAAGTAAAATATGATTGAAAAAGTATGGTTTTCTCTACTGCAATATATCAAGTATGAATGAAAAGTTTTGTGGGTTAAATGATCTTAGTCTCTTAGCTCAAGTACTTCACATACAAAAGTAATTCATGATAAAAATATATTTATTTTTGTAACAAACACTACTGCCTCATATGCTTATTTTTATTTATTCAAATTCTCAAGTTGAAGTAAACAAGAAAAATGAATTAATACAAATTCAAATGGTCCTTGGGATTTGCATTAAATTATCATTTTCAGTGTATTTTTACTTTGAGAAACTATTGAAAGCTAATGAAACACAGGAAATGAAAGATTTGCTGTAAGTATGTGACAGAAGGAAAGTTTATAATTAATATTAAATCTATAATAAATTAATATGCATATGTATATGAAAGGGTGTAAAATTTTCATGAACTTACATGAAACATATAGTCAGACTCTCTGCTGTCTATTTCTATACACCTAAACTTACTAACTTACCCAGTGTTCAATTTAGTAATGAATTAGTTTAAGATAAACTTTAGCACAGAATACTAGTTTACCCATATTTAACCCTAAAGCCAAACTGATGCCAATATAGGCACTTCAGTAAAAGAACAAGCCCATGTTCAAATATAAAATGGTAAAAATGAGAAAGAAATTATGAAAATATATACCTTTAATTTGCAGACATATAAACACTTTTGGTACAATACAGACACATGATGCAAAAAAGTAAGATGATCCAGTTTAAGCTAACACATTCCTTGTTTATACAGATTTTGTTATAGTGCTCAGATAAAATAAAATTTCCAGCTCATACAATGAAGCAAAAGTGATAAATCCAGTGATGGACCAGTTTTCTTCATTGCAAAACATTCAGAAAAAGCTAAATTATCAAAGGAATCGGCTGCTGGGCTTACAAATAAACTCTTGGATCTAATCCAAAGCCAAAGAAAGGAAGCCAGAAATGGTAGCCAACAACCTAAACAATAAAAGGAAAGTATAACTTTCATATAAATGCCCAACTAAAACAACCAGTAGCACAGACTAGCTTCTAGAATAATTTGGTTTTAATGTGCTTTTTGTTTTCTTATGTGATAGATGAGTTTAAGCATATAAAAATCTAATGTATAACCAAGTACAAATTACTACTGACAAATATTGAAAGCACTAAAATGTCATGAACACTAAAAAGCAAATAAGGATTGAGACCTTTATTTGCTTCTGGCTGTTTTGGGGGGAGCACAATTTCTAATTACATTTTCTGTAAAGAAGGATACATATATTTTCCCCTGTAATCATAGCAAGTCTCATGGTAAAGCAAACAGAAAGCAATTTGAGTACACAGAAAGTAAAATACTCTTCACCAGTCCAAACACATGGCAATGTTTTTATCCTTGCTAAGAAGGAATTGCACTTCTTTTTAATGCCTTCTCTTTCAAACTATACATGATGTACCTATGAGGTAATAAACATTCTAAGTACATTTATTTTCTTTCATAGCATATATTTAATTAGGGCAAAATTCAATGTAATTTTACATTTATTTAATGTTAAAAACATATTTAAAATATACTCTCTCATTAATTTCATGTACAACAACTGTCATGTACAATACCTCAAACAGTTCCCTGCAAAGGAGCAGCTCATGCCCTCTTGTGGTGAAAAGACTTTTAGATGAAAAAAAAAAAAAAGTATCATTTTTCTTACCTTACTTCCCAGGTTTTATCAATCATTTGCTTGGTGTATGAAAGCTGCAAATCATGTCCAAGCTGTATTATAAATAACAATTCTATAGCTGTTAGTACTAATTTTCATTTAAAAATGCTGTACACATTTTATAACTCTGAATTTGAATTTAAAAACCTGTAAACAGCTATTTACAATATAAGTTATAAATTAGTCATCCTTCATTGGAACTGCCATCAATATATTCTTGTGTAGGCAAAGAAAACTATCCAAAGTCAGTTAAAACAGCTCTCTGTTAATCCACAATGAAATATTAAATATTAGAAATATCCATTGGTTTTCTCTCTCTCAGATGCAAGTCAATTTTTCCTTTTAGAGGAATTTGTACTTCCAAATTTTCATCTTCTCTGTGTTTTTTCCCCTTCCTCAAGCAGATATATATGCCCATCCCTGTAACTAGTGTGATAGAACTCAAGCTTATGACAGACAGAGCTACTAATGTGGGCATACAGGACACAGATTCTACCTTCCTATGAGTTGGTTCTATTGAGATTTGTGGTTCTTTCTCCTCTATATTGATTTCTGGTTCTTTTCTTAAAAGACTCTCAATGTAGCTCTCATTACTGACAGTGTCATTGACAAATAGGTTCACCATGACGGTGGAATGGAGAGGCTCAGGATAACCATGATCACTCACTTTCACCAGTAAGCGATGCAGTCCATAATCTGTCTGCAGCAATGCCTCTTCCAATGTAATGTTGCCAGTTTTAGGATCAATCCTAAAGGACTCAGGCCTAGGGCCTCTTCTCCCTATGATGCTGTAAGCTATGACAGCATTCATGCCTGTATCTTTGTCAACAGCATAGACCTCTGTAACTGGGGAGCCAGGGAGAGTAGAAGGCAGTACCAACAGATAAGACATATTAGATTGAGGAAATAAAACAAGAGGAGGATTGTCATTGATATCTAGAAGGAGAATTGTGATTTTTGTGGTAGAGGAGAGGGCAGGCTCACCCCCGTCAACAGCTTCAACCCACAAAGTATAGGAGCTTTGCTGCTCTCTGTCCAAAGAGACTTTAGCCCTCAGCATGCCCTTCCCTGTATCTATGACAAAGATGTCACTCTGGTTCACCACGGAGAGGGCAACCCATCCATTTCGCCCAGCATCAGCATCTGTTACACTTATTACTCCAATTTCACCATATCCGGGAAAGTTTTCTGGCACAAAGAAGCTGAAGTCCTTGTTGATAAACCGAGGACTGTTGTCATTTTTATCCAAAACTGTAAGAGTCACAGTGGCTACTGATTCTCTGGGTGGCTTCCCACAGTCAACAGCTCTGACAGTGTACCTGTACTTTTCTTTCTCTTCTCGGTCCAGCTGAGTAGAAACTGTCAGGATTCCTGTAACACTGTCTAAGGAAAAATATGATGGAGCATCAGGTCCCAGGAAATAGGAAACTTGGCCTCTCTCTCCACTGTCAGCATCTGTAGCATACAGCTTAGTCAAAAAGGCATTGGGTGCATTATTTTCTTCAATAGTAAGCTCTATCAAGGGCTGAAGGAAAACAGGAGCATTATCATTGTCATCTAAAAGTTGCACTTTAATGATTCTTTTGACATGAAATCCCTCTGAGTTCCAGGCCACCACAGCTATTTCGTAGAACTGCTGCATCTCATAGTCCATAGGTTTTGAGGTCTCTAGCAAATATTCATTATTGTACGGTTTGTAGGGTGACAACTTAAATGGCCCTTCACCATCCAGGTAGCAGTTAACCTTGTATTTACCTTCTGGATCTCTTATGGTAAAAAATGCAATTGGAGTGTTAACAGGTTCCAGTTCTTTCAGATAAACAATTCCATCTACCTCATTTGCTATATAACGTGGGACAATTTCAGGTGGTCTAAAAATGACTTTGATAATAGACACTAAAGCAGTGATCACAGCAGGAATACAGCCTGGTCCATTAGCAAGGATGGTGAGTTTGTGAGTTTGTAGAACATTTCCTCCAATCTTGCTGAAAAGTTTAATGACCCCTGTAGCTTCGTCCAGATGGAATAAATCCTTGGATGCTTGTGGAACTTTCTGGCTATAACTATAGGTAATCAGAGCATTGGTACCCAAATCTCTGTCCACAGCCTGAACAGCTGCAATTGGAGTGCCAACTGTAGCATTCCCATATACAGTGATATTGATTTGTGAATCTATGAAGAGAGGGCAATTGTCATTAATGTCACTTATGCCAATGGTGAGAGTGGCACTGCCCAACAGTGGTGGAGACCCACCATCTTCGGCTATTATGATGCTCACATACTGGTCCTGGGTTTCCCTGTCCAATGCACCCATGACAATTAGGTAGGGGGTACGCTCCCCATTCTCATTCTCCTCCACATCCAGGGTGAACATGCCATGGTAGTCCAACAAGCGATAAGTCTGCACCCCATTAGTGCCTACATCTGGGTCCACGGCAGGATGCTCTATGGCCAACCTGGTGTTTACAGGTGCATTTTCTGGGACCCAAACTGAGATTTGGGAAACAGGGAACTGTGGAGCATTGTCATTAATATCCCTGATGGCAATTTTCACCTTCACAAACCTGAAGTATTCCTGAGGCAGAACTAGCACATCCAGAAGCAAAAGGCAAGAGTCAGAAGAAGGAGAGGAGATGGAAATGCTGCCACCCCAGGCAGCTCCTCCACCCCCTTCAAGACACAGGGCTTCTCTGTCTATCTCCAGTGCAGAAGTGTGCAACTCCCCAGAACGGTTGTCTAGGGTCACATACTGGCCACTTAGTCCCCCAGAGGCCAGGCTGAAAGAGAGAGGGGGATTCCACTCAGCGCTCGAGCTGGCATACTCTGGCAGGGACTGCTGATTCTGTCTCCCTGTAGCCCGGGGTACCAGCCTCAGGTCCTCAGCCAGGCTGCCGATGAGCACTCCCGCCGGCAGTCCTTCGTTCAAGCTGTACAGAAGCTCCGTGGCTCGGCTGTAACTCGCGAGGCAGTTGAAGGGTCCCACGAAGAGAAAAAACAGGAACACATGCTGGAGTGGAAGGAGGAGAGACGGTTCATTTGCACACACGCGGAAATAACAGGGATAAGAGTTAGAAAAGAGTGCTCCAGGGTGGATGCTGCCCAGATCCCTATTTCCAGGAGGAAAACCTCTACTCAAAATAGGGTGAAGAGGAAACTTGCGGCGAAGGAGAGGTCTGTGGAGCAACATTGTCTCCAAAACTTATTTTATCTGCTCATTTTTTATTCTCCATGTTGCCCCCATCATGTCCCCATCATCACCAGCTAACATTCAAAAATCCAAAACCATAGAGCATTCCTGGAAAAACACACTGGGATGAAGAAGGCTCCGATTCAGGGACTGCGCAACGCGACAGAAAAACCTCCCTAGGTTATGAGGAGGGAGGGGGCTGGCATTGGAGGGTACTGAAAGGTGGCCGATTAATTTCTCATTGAAATGAGCAATTCAGCCATTAGAGTCCTAGAACACGAAATTTGTGACATCCCTCTGAGACCAATAAAAACAGTAACAGCCATAATATGAAAAACATGGCAACACACCCCACCTGCTCAACCCCCACCCCAAACCCCTCCCCGCAACGCTTTAGGTCTCCCAAAGAGTGATTTTCATTTTAGCTCGCATGTAAAATCAAAATGAAATGATCTGGGTCTCCAGCTCCTACCAAGCCCTTCTACCACATCTCTTAGGGGGAAGAGAAGTAAACGCGGAAAATGATTATGCAAAAACAATTTGTCAGTTGCAGTAGACAACCAGCCAGATGCCGGCAGCAGGAAACAATCTCGGAACCTCTGTATCTTTTATAAAGCGCTTTGAGCGCACCGTCGCCTCCCTCTTCGATCTCATTTGACTAAATTTCGGCTATTGAAACTTCCTCCCAGGAACCTAGGACTTAAATATTTCTTGCCAAAATGTAAGCACTTTATCCCAAAGTCTGTTTCCTTTCCCATATTCTTCCCGGGAAGTTTGGATTAAGGCAAAAGGTTTCAACAACCATTAAGGAGTAGAAACTGCTTTACAGCAGTGCAACTTGTCGGGATCGCGAGCTCCTGAATCCTTACCGGTAGGTTCCTGTGGCTGGTGCTGCTCCTGGGACGATGTAGATGCCCCATATCCAGGCGCGGGTGCCAGGTCGCTGGGCGCCAGCTCACTGCCAGGGCCGGCGAGCTGCGCGCATTCCCTTGGCCGCGCATTCCCAGGGAGGCTGCAGTCAACGCGCTCCTGAAGGGAGGGTGGCAGAAGACACTCCCTCTCCGTTCATGCAAATCGCTGGGGAACTTCAGCCAATAGTCACTGGCTTGTCAATTAAGGACGGAAACTAAGGCGGGCAGAAAGGCGAGGGGCAGAAGGGCACATTTATGGTTTCTAGTCCTGGACGCGAATACGTCCGGAACCTGCCAAAGGAGCTGAATTGGGGGACTTGCCTCTGAAGACTGCGTCGAGGTGTCACAGGATCGGGCACTGGAGTGCTGCCCACAAGCTTACCTCCTTGCACCAGTTAGATCTCAAGTCCACAGGTTGCTAGCAAGAGTAGGAGAATTAAAAGAAATAAGTCTGCATTTGTATCTGAATTCAAGAGAGAGAGGAAGTCAGATCCACAGAGCAATCACAGGCGCTATGCCCCCGAAAGCCTGCTTTGCCATCAGTTCCTCCCAAAGACTGGAATCCAGCAGTGTTTGCACAGCGCAAGAAAATGCACTTTTCTCAGAGGAGAGGCATCTCAACTTCTTTGTAAACGCTGCGTGAGCCAGAAAAGCAAATATATGAATTCAGTAAATGTTTCCACATGTTATAATTTGATTCTTTACTGTTGGTGATGAGAGAGTCTCTGTTAGTTGTAGGTGCAAGCGTCTCTGGGTGTCTGTTTTATGGTTTTATTTTAGTGGCAGCCTCAGCTTCTGACCAGAAAGAAAAAGGCAGAAAAATGTAGGGGATGGAGATAGAGATAGGAGCAGATTTGCTCTAACAGGAGTGCTTCTGCTTGCAAGCAATTTTAACATCTTTCTCTCAGGGAGCATTTAAGATAGGGAGGACACTCACCAAAGCTTAGGTTAAAAAATTGTATTACTTTTCAGATTATTCACTTTTACTTTTTTTTTTTTCCTGCACCACCCGCCCCTGCCCCTGCCCCTGCCCCCTACTGTGTTTACTGGGAAATGACCCTTTGGGAAGAAATCCTGGAGGAGTGTGGTGAAAATGCTTGGATCTCCTCTGGGTCCAATCCTAAATAGCCACATGACTGTCATGGAATCACCTACCCACTGGGCTTATTCTTCATTTACAAAATCAGGCTGAAGGGGGATTTCAGTGCATTAAGTCCAGGAAACACTTTTGAAATGCAGGGTGCCATATAAACAATGGAAAAGATCACTCAATCTCACTAAGTAGGGATTATTCTTTATCAACAGACTTCCTTCACAGTCCTAAACATAAAACCTTACCTGTGGAATGACAAATGATAGAGATAGAACAGAAAAAAAATTTTTTTTTCTTGGATCAAAGAAATGAGTTCTCTGTTTTCTAAAGGAACCTACTTTAATTTTCTTCTACTATATGTTAACTAGAATATAAATTGTTCCAGCTAATTGTTGTGCTTTGGACCCTTCATATTTTCTCCTCCTTCCTGTTAATCTTAGAGACAGAGTCCTAAATATTGACAACACCTGGTTTATAACAGCTTGTTATTGCACAAATGGTGCTCTACATGGAATTCACAGACAAAACTCTTTATAATACAAATCAGATGTGTGGTATGAACATGGATGATAAAAAATAAAAAATAAAAAATAAAAAAGCTCTTTCAAGTGCCAGTAAAATTGGAATCCTGACAAAGTGGGCAAACCACATACACACACATGAACTTGGGCCTCTGCGTTTTAGGCCATTACATAATCAATAAACAAACCACAGTAGGGGAAGCATGATTTGCCTCTCCTTGCTTCTTCAGCTGCCAGTTCTGCCCTACAGCTGAACTTTTACAATTATTGGTAAATATTTATGTTGAGGTTTGTAGCTGAAATATACTAGACTCCAAAAATCAGTACCAAGCTGCTTCTGAAGTGTATTTAATTTATGTCTTCACTCAATACCCATAGCTTCTAGAAGTTAGAGACACATGACCAGAATTAGGCAGTCTGTCAATGGCCACATAGCCTGAAATCTGAAGTAATTGTGCATCTAGACTGATAGCAAATGTAGCTGGGCACAGTGGTGTATGCCTGTAATCCCAGTAACTCAGGAGGCAGGATGACAGCAAGTTTCAGGTCAACCTAAGCCACTTAGTGAGAACCTATACCAAAATAAAAAATAAAAAGGGCTGAGAAAGTAACTCAGTGGTCAAGTGCCCCTGACTTCAATCCCCAGTACCAAAACAAACAAACAAAAACCAACAAATGCATTGGACTGTGTATCCCTACACAGCCCTACACAGTCAGTTTATGCCCTCTCTAATTGGTTAAGATTTTTTTTTTTTCTGGTGAAAATGTAGAGTTTTTTTCATAGTTTTCCCTTTGTTTATAGGGACTTTAAGAATTATTGTTTATTGAGATATCCAAATGGAGTAACATTATCTCTTTGTAGTTGTTTTCTCAATTATTTGTAATTTCCCTTGGACTGACTCTTAAACTCTCCATTTCCCCACTTTGGAGTGGATGCTTTTAATATGAATATACCTTTATAAAATGTCCCTTCTACCCCACTATTGCAGAATTTTGGTCTTCTGACTTATCATCCAGCTGCCCCCTATGGAAAGGGTTATTATCACTCCTCTCCCTTTGTTAAGTTGAAAGAAATGAAATCTACCCATTCAATCGTAATTTTTGTATACTGCTTCTAAAAATAATAAACATATAAACTAAAGCAAAAGCTATTTATATAAGTTGTAAACAGGGATTAATACATTCTGGAATAATTTTTTTAGTTACAAAATCTCTAAATAGAAGTTTGACATCAAGACTGGGAGATCTTGGCATGATGCTGGGCGATATCTTAAATATCACATGTCAAACTGTTCACTGACTACTTATTATCTTTTCTCTTTGAAGATCTATACAGAGGTTTCATGCAGCTTGATATTTTTTAATTGGGCTTAAATTTTTTAAAAAGGACCAAATATGCTTCTTTCTTCTTATGTACCATCTTCCTGGGTATTATGAAAGTAATCCCAAATTCCCACTCCTTTTATTGCCAGTCTTGTGACTTACCGTTTGGTGTCACATATTTCTTTCTGAAGCTGATTTAGAGAGCTCCTATAGTATTAGCCCCTCGAAAAATAATACTCATAAACTTCTCAGATGTCTCAATTGCTCTGGGCCTGCTTCCCAGGTGTTTTGTAAAAATTAATCTAAAAGAACTGTTATATTATATGCCTTTCAAGCCTATATTTTTATATAGACAAGGATACCAACATGATATAATAGCTGGTAACCTGAACTGATCTAGAAGGTTTGCATTCCATTCTCAGGATTATTGCTAAGTTCTTGTATGATGTTAGGCAATTATACATTTCTTTTTCAACTTTCTATAAAACACCCTCACTTACTATATGTACAGATAGGCATGAAATGACTTATCTCATATGATTAACCAACAGACATTGCATTACAGGTTAATTTGGCTATTATTTACTATATCACTGGAGGTTAATATTTTTTTATTTACTTCAAGATTTGTGATCTTACTACATTATAAAGCTGTGAGCATGATTTTATGTGTTCATCATGATACCATTTTCAAAACTTGCATTTTTATAAACATACTCTAAAACATTTAATTTTTTGAATACAGTGTTTTATAAGTAACTAACTTTTTTCAATTAATTCTTATGGCATCATTTAAAGTATTTTAATAATTGTAAGGTATCCACAAAATTCCATGTCATTAATATACACATACATATTTAAAGCATTAGAATCATAATCCAATCATGGAATGTTTAATTAAAAACTGAAAATAAATGCAAGTTAAGAATATTACCTGATTTTAAGACCATTTCAATCATTTGTCCTATTATAGAACATAATAATATTCTATATATTATATTTCATATAATAGAACATATGAAATCAGCAGTCTCTTTTGAAGGGTCATATACATTTTTGTGTATATGTAATGTAAATGTTATACATGTATGTATATATAAATTTGTATGCTGTAAAATATAGTACATGTAATGTAAATATATTAAATATCATTATACTGTTATGATACATATCAATAAAAAGTATATAATATATGATTGAATAATCTATATTTTTCTAATTAAATAATTTTGGTGAAGAGATTTAAAAAAATAGTGTAATGTATGAGAAATAATAAAATGTTTTTAAATCATTGAATATTAATTATATTCCAAACATGCTAATGGGTGCTTTACATATTATTTACTTAATCTTCACAGTTTTATAGTGTAGTTGTTATTACACCCATTTTGTGGCCAAATATTTCATATTTGTTCAGTATTTACATTGACTGGATTCTGATCTGTAGCCTCCAAAGTTCATGATTTTCCAACTTTGGTATATGCTTCTCTCCTAAATGGGTGGATCTAGGGCCTATATATGTTTAAATGCATTTCAATTCAATAAACACTTACCACTTGCCTACAACAATAGCAAAAGTTATGATGGCATAGTTGTTTATATGAGGCCTTTTTAAAGTAAATCTTCTTTAGTCCATTAGTGCTTCTAAATAGATACACACCCACAGACACAACTTACCTGTGTTTGGATAGCTTAGATATCCCAATTTGTAGACTGAAAATGTACTATGTGATTATGTTTCTGTATATACTTGATATTATTGCAAAATTCTCAGTAATTTTAGGGCTATGAAGTTAGCCCTTAAGACAACAAATATGTAGCTGATTCAAATCCTCATTAAAATCCTATCATTTCTTATAATAGTTCTAAATTTTGTTCTCAGGATTGTCTGATATTAGGACATAGGCTAGAAAGACAGCATTTTTCTATCTTCTATTTTTAAGATCAAATGCCTTGATCTTAAGCATTGCTATAAATTCTGATTACTTTGTATTATTTTATTAATTTTCAAGTTTACAAATTTTTACAATTACTCATTTGGGTATTTTTCTAGTATATTGGGCAAACTTTTAAAAAAATCCTATTTCATTTTCTCTATATAATTTGAAATTAATTTTGAGACTAATTGGGAATAATATATTGGCTCTTTTGCTAAAAAGTTGGAGAGTTTACTTTGGTAAACAAATATACCTTTATATTACTTGTATGAAGAGTATGCAAATAAGGTAAATTACTGTACTACAAACTTGTATTTCAAAACATGTATTACTGTACTGAGCAATTCATAAAAAGGGACTTCCATAAGCACAAATCTATTCTAATTAGTTTCCTCTATGCTGTAGAATACTTTCTGTAAATAGATTACACATTTTTCCCCTTTCCCTATATATTACAAGAGGAAAGGATGCAGTAGGGTCAAGTGGTCCTTTTATTTTTCAGAACTCAATTAGCATCACTTTAACAGGGATAAGTATAACTGGGTGAAGTCACTAGAAAATCCCAAGTTTAATTTTAGCTAGCATTTTCAACGTTATTTCCTTATCCTCAAAATAAATTTTAGAAGTCATTTTCAACTCATTTGAATTTCACATTCTTCCTTCTTA